GTTGGATGTAGTAACCCATCACCGGCGCCTTCGAACCCGGACCTACATTACCGTGGGCGGACCACATAGCTCGACTAAGTTGACTACTAGGTAGACTAACTTGGAAACAATGAAGGTAATTCTGAGAACAGATTATAATGTAATTCTGAACCATCCTTGTCATATAACATCTTACTAATATTGTAAATAAATAAAAAAATATATTTTTGAAGTTTAGATGGATGGATAAATGTTTGTTAGAGTTTGTAGCCTAAACGGCTGAACGGATCCTGATGAAATTTGGTATATACGTAGAGAATAGTCTGGAAAAACACATAGGCTATTAATTTTTTTAATACCACGCGGTCGGAGTCCTAGGCGAAAGCTAGTAAATCATATTTAAAAAAATTATAAATGCGAAAGTTTAAATGGATGCATGTTTGTTAGTTTGTAGCCTAAACTGCTGAAGGGATATCTATGAAATTTGGCATAGACGTCGAGGATAGTCTGGAAAACACATAGGTCATTTTTTTAATACCATGCTGTCGGTGTCGCTGGCGAAAACTAGTTAATCTGACCGACTGTTACTTGCGACTTCATAAAAAACATAGCCTATTATCATCACCAGCTCACTATATGTCCCCACCGAGGGGCTCGGAGCCTACCCTAATATGGGGTAGGCTATACATTGCCTATACTCAGCGATAATGTACATATACGTATGACAAAAATGTCATCAACAGAAAATAATTCCATGTTACAAATTGTTTATAGATTTCTATACATATGTAAACATCCGTTTCAAGTAAAAAAGTTAACCATTAGTAAGTAAACACGAGATTAACAACAAACCTTAGTCACAAACATTTATGATGGATTCAGAAGATGCTGGGTTTTTCCTCACAGTCTATTACTGTTATGATTTAAGCTATATCTGTTGACAATTACATAAAATATAAGTTTCTTGTCATCCGGCTTTGAAGAAGATATTACTCATTGCATTTGTCAACTGCTTTGGATATATACTAGCTTTTGCTCACGACTTCGTCCACGTGAAATTAAAAAGGCCACAATGTATATAGCCTACGTAACTCACCGATAATGTAGCTTCCTAATGGTCAAAGAATTTTTCAAATAGGCCCAGTAGTTTTGAGTTATTACAATACATACAAAAATACAATTTTTTTCTATTCATAACATTAATATAGACTAGCTGTTTCTCGCGACTTCGTCTGCGTGTAATAAAAAAATAATAAAAAACATAGCCTATGTTACTATTAGATAAATTACCTTTCCAACGATGTAAGAGTTTTTGAAAACGGTCCAGTAGTTTTTGAGTTATTTCAATAAATAATCCTATCCGATAATCGTATACGCAAGCGAGAATGGCGATGTTCGAACCGGCCAACGACTGAATTGATGTTCCATACTTCTAGTCAATAACCTTTTGAGCCTTGTTCCTAGGACTTTTGAGATAGTTATAGGACGCCTGTGTTGCTTTGGTGCAAGATAATTTAGGCCAGTATGACGATTCACCGAGCACATTTATTTGTATGGTTTTACGTAATTTATTTTAAATACAAAATAACTTTTACAAATCTAATAATAGTTTAAGAGCATGCGCAACTAAAACTAAACTGCTTAGTCTCGCTGTGATTCCTATTTTTAGTTGTGCAACTAAACTGTTGAATTAACTGCGAACAAACGACAATCGCACAACTGTTGTGCGATATTTTAGTTAAAGGTGTGCGCCCGCTCTGTGTTAATATGCTAGGCATTTGATTAACTTCCTGGTTTATTGTAAATTTTATCTAATTATAATAAATAAATATTACAGTTTAACGAGTTATGTTAAATTACAAATGTAATAGACCGATATCCGGAGCATAGCTGATAAAGTGCAATCACAATTAATTGAATATTTATTTATATTAATATAATAAATATATGGAAATGTACATAACCGGTGTATGTATTATTGTTACACTAACTGTAGCCCGTGACTGCTTCTGAGAATCTTATATCTGTTCAAAGTTTTTTCATTGAAACTTTTGCATATTTACATCTTACTCCTCCTACGTCAGCAAGGGTGCGCAACGCATCTGCAATTGCGGATGTTTATGGGCAGTGGTCGCTTTCCATTTCGGTGGATTCAGGTGGCCGCTTGCTCGTTTGCCACTTTATAATAAAAAAATACTCTTTCTAATGTTATAAATGCGAAAATTTAGATGGAGGATGGATGGATGTTTGTTAGAGTTTGTAGCCTAAACGGCTGAACTGATTTCGATAAAATTTGGTATAGTAGTAAATGATAATCTGGAAGAACACATAGGCTACTCATTCTTGTTTTTTTTTAATTCAACGCTGACGGAGTCGCGGGCGTAAGCTAGTAGTAAATACTACTGAATTGGCCGCGAAACAATCGACAATCGAACAACTATTGTGCGATAGTTTAATCCAAGATTTGCGCCAGCTTTTATTGGTAGATTTTAGCAACATCCTGTGTCTTCCGGTAAGAGTGGTCAAGTCATTTCATCTGTAAATATCAACAAAATAGCGAAGGAAATCCTTAATACCTCGTCCAAGGACCACGGGCTCATAAAACGATGATTACAGATTCCGGATTCGATGGTGACCAAAACCCGATGCATTTGTGAATCATTTTAAATGAAATAACCCGTGTTCAATTGTTTTTTCTTAAAGCCTATAAAAATTGCAATTTACTGAGACACGACATTTTAAACTGCTTAAATGCATAGGTCAATTATAAATCAAAAGGTGCATTTTTTAATATTTTTTATCTTGTTTTCTTGTTGGGATGATATTGAAAACGTTTTTTTAAAAGTTAATAAACAAATCTTATTAACTAAGTAGCCTATGTGTTCTTTTTTATTTTAATATGTTTTACATATGTGATAAATTTCAGCGTGATCACTTGAACAGTTAGGGATATGTACTAACAAACATTTATCAATCTAAACTTTCGCATTTATAATATTGGTTAGAGTAAGAACGGGAGCATAGCTTGGACTAAACTATCACACAACTGTTGTGCGATTGTCGATTGTTTCGCAGCCAATTCAACTGTTTAGTTGCACAACTAATCGAGTTGTGTGCGCACCATGTAAGGAATCTAAGCGAGACTAAACAGTTGTTTGATAGTTTAGTTTCAGATATGCGTATGCTCTAAGAACTAAGATACTATGTGCGGTTAAGAGCTCGTTTATGTTTCCTTTTAGAAGTAGTTTGTCATAGTCTAACTTCTAACAATAATGTGAATGTTTAGATGGATGTACGGATGGATGTTTGTTAGAGTTTGTAGCCTAGACGGCTGAACGAATCTCGATGAAATTTGCCACAGTTGTAGAGAATAGTCTAAAAGAACACAGAGGGCGTCCCACCACTGGCTGATAGAGACAGCTTAAAAATGACGTCACTCTCAAATAAGGTAACAAAATGCGATATTTCTATCACATATTTTACATGTTGGATTCTTATCGGACAATTTACAATTTGGTGGGACAGGCCTATAGGCTACTTACTTTTGTTCTTTTTAATTCCACGCGGACGGAGTCGTGGGCGAAAGCTAGTAACATTGACAGAATAAAGAACGTCATAGACAGGACTGAGTCAACTTAATAATTCAAGTTATGACAAATCCAATTAAGTTTTGTATCAATAACATATTTTGATACATCATATTTTCAAGAATTATTAAAAAAACATTCATAAATTGTCGATAATATTAATAATATTTATTGATAATATATTCAATGTTTTTATTTAATGATAAACGAAGAAAATGACGTAGTAAGCTCATCTTTATTTAAATTTCATAACTAGTTTTTATTATAATTGTAAAATATTTAATAATTTACGAGTATAAAAAAAATAATTTTTGTCTTTGACTTTAAAACGAATTTCACCAAACTTGACACATAACCACCACCTGCGTTTCGTTTTACAAACGTATTTATGTTAGAATTTTTAACTATTACATATAACAAAATTGGAGTGTCTGTTTATATAAAAAAAATCCAGATATCATGAAGATGTATTTGCGTTGCAAATAACGAAAATCGCATTAAGGATTTTTGGTCTGTTTGTCTGTCTGTTCGCAAGCCGCGTTTGTTCCGGGTAGTCTCCAAAACGATTGGGCCCATTTTGACCGGACTTTCACTGAAGGGTAGCTGACATAGACGGACATATTATAGACTATTTTTTATCTCAATATTGCGTGGACGAAATCGCGGCCAACAGATAGTTTTTAATAAATAGCTATCACTAGGGGAATTCATATCCAGCTGTGCGTTGAATTGAAACAGGTTTCAGATATCTAAGTGGACAATAATATTACATTAATTATACTAATATTATAAATGCGAAAGTTTAGATGGATGTTTGTTAGAATTTGTAACCTAAACTGCTGCACGGATCTCGATGAAATTTGGTATAGGCGTAGAGGATAGTCTGGAAGAACACTTAGGCTACTCACTTTTGCTATTTTAGTTCCACGCGGACGGAGTCAAGGGCAAAAGTCAGCTGTCATATAAATATAACATTTTAACAAAGTCTACATGTAGTGGTAATGGTATAATATATTTTTATAACTAAGTATGTAATGTATGTGTAATCTGCACTAAGTAGGATCCGAATTAATGCAAATTTAGTTAGAAATTACACTTATTCATTTAAACTATTTGAAACCAACATAAAACGCCGTCTGCTTATGGAAATTTAAAATTGCCTTCCGTAATTTCTGCAATTGATTTTCCTCGAAGGAGATCTCATAGAAATAGAAAAACAATTTACTTTATAAGGGTCGTATAAAATGGTCTCATTCCTATAGTTTGTATCTTATATTTGTTTTTAAAATAGATCGTAACGTATCGATTGTCTAAGCGACATGATTGTTATCAAGTGAAATTCGCGCTATCTCGGATGCATGAGATAGAGTCATCGCCAAAGGTCGTGTGCGTTTCATAAACGTTCGTATAAAAGCGTGCGAGAGGACCGCCGGTAACAAAGTGACTTGTTGCTGACCGAGAGCCGTTGTGTCATCGGATGTTTTAAATATTGACACCGATTCAGAGAAGGTTTCAGTGTGTTGTGCTTAACATTGTGGAGTGGTCGGAGGTTACGGAGACAGTTTATAAAGATTTAATTGTGAGTTTATTTCTTTTTATTTTTATTTTTTATTTATAGTGTTTTATGTGCCTGGTTGTAGTTGTTTTTTTGTTTTTTTATAGTCAAGTAGAATTGAGATTATACGTTATTAAGTGTGTTTGATACATTAGTCGTTTTTATTTTACTTATTAATAAAAAATATGAAATAATTTATAAATAATGTTTTCATGTAAAGATTGTGTTTTAAAAATATAAAAAGGATCTTAACTTAAATGTGATAAATTTTGTACGTTCGTTGATGTCTTTTAGTTTGAAAAAGCTCGAAGTTGGTGCCAAAATTTTACAGTTCACTTGTTAATAATACCTTTTTATTATTTTAATTTAAATAAATTACTATTATTATACATTAGTTACCTAGTATTTTACACAGTTTCTAATATAACGATTTTTGTTAAATAAATAAAAAAAATAATAGATATTTACGTGATACGAACTTACTTTACACAAGTGCCTTTAAAACAGTACATTATTAATATATTAATGGTAAAACCTTTTTTTAATAAATAAGATTAAATATCCACTATTAATAACCCAACCCTACCTTAATTCCTACCATCATTAATTTTATTTTATTTAACGTAATTACATTATGCAAGCCTTTGTCAAAGTCACAATCAATAAGTAATTTTTTTAACATTGATTGACGCTAATTACCATCGCCTGTCATCGTTATAACTTGAATACTTAACATCCGCTTTAACAGTAGTAGGTTTAATAGTGGAAACTTAACATTCCCTAAGTTGCATTAATAATTTAAAACTATCTCTATTTTATATTTTGAAAGATTTGGATGGATTTATTACTACTTAAATAAATTAATATAATTGTAAAAAAAAACACATTCAGATACACTCAATTATGAATAATTATCACCTCCCTTCTTGAAACTATTATAGTAATCTTACTAATATTGTAAATTCGAAAGTTGAAATAGATGGATGTTTGTTAGAGTTTACAGTCTATTGAACGGATTTTAAAGAAATTCCGATAGATATACGATAAAGGCCCTTACAGTATAGGTTATATTTTTAATTGCGCACGGACGGAATCGCGGACGACTGCTGGATAATAATTAAACAAGGAATTGAGTTAAGTTAATACACCAAATATTCTACACTAGCTGTTCCCGTGCGGATCTTCCGCATGTAATTATGAAAATTTTATTTTATTGTTTACATTTGTCAAATTATCAATAGCAAATGTCAAAATGACATGACATTACAAACCTTGACAATCTTGCTTTCTTGATGTTGGCAGCAACTTATCTTTCCCATATTAGGGTTTTTATCCAAAACATTTACCCCCTAAGTTCAATTGCGTGAAAACCATATAGCCTAAAGCCAGACGTAAGTGTAGGGCTTTTCATTAAAGAAATAATTATTCAAAAATATGCTGTAATTGCTGACATCTTTGGCAACAAAGAAGTGTGTGTTTGCGCTTTATTATGATAGTATAGATAAACCTAGCTAATAAATAGTAAATTCAAAAATAGGATTGATTAGCCATTTTGTTCGGTATTTTGTGTAATCTTCGGAAGGTCGTTGTGTAATATGTGCTTAGGTGTAAATCTTTACTACGTGAAAGGTCAATTATTTACTTTAAAAATGTTGATAACATATAAATAAATATAGTTTTATTACAAAATAGCCAAGGTTTTTATTGCAACTTTTGTTGCGTATCGGATACATTCTAAAGGTATTTCCAATAGATCATAAATTAACTTTTTGTTTTGCTTACATACTTTAAAAAAAAAGTATTCTATCTTAAGTAACAGTAAGTTTTTAATCAATAGAAAGACAAATAAAAACAATCTTGAAAGAGAAGATCTCGTACTGGAAGGTACGCGCGAGTAAAATAAGAAATAAACCAAAAGCAACTTTTAATAAAATTTACAAATTAATAAAAAAATATATACATTTCAGCCTAGCGTTGTGTGACATCTACTCGAACAATGCTTCACATATTTACAAAAGAATAAATAAAAAAATAAACATTCTTATTTAAAAAAAAAGGATTAAAAATAAAAATATAAAAAGGATTATTGCATCGCCAACAAATCTTAAAAGATACAAGATTGAAAATCGTATAACCAAAATGTTAGCAAAAAATGTGACTACTTACTCTACCACCTAAATTTAATTAACAATATACAGTAATTATTTCTTAACACTTAATGAATATATTACTTACTAAAAGCTTAGATTAATTGATTACGTTACAAACTGACACGTCTAAATAAGTGAAAATATCAAATGTCAAGTAAATGTCAGACATAGATATCTAGACTGTGATTTTAAAAAGTTATACGGCCTTGACAACATGGTATTAACGTTTACCGATTTGAAAACATTATCGAAGACCTTATTTCATACTAGCTGTTCCCGTGTGGCTTCACCCGCATGTAATTATGAAAATTTTATTTTATTGTTTACATTTGTCAAATGATAAAATGACATGACATGATCTTTCTTTCTTGATGTTGGCAGCAACTTATGGTCTCTTTCCCTTTTGGTGTTTATCCAAAATATTTGCACCCTAAATTTAATGGCGTGAAAATATATAGCCTAAAGCATGACGTATAAGTGTAGGGATTTTTATTAAAAAACGAATTATTCAAAAATATGCTGTAATTGCTGACATCTTGGGCAACAAAGAAGTGTGTGTTTACGCTTTATTATAATAGTAAATAAATTTATCATCTCCCATACGTTATCCTACACCTGTAGGAATCACCGGGTTTTCGTCCTCCAAATAACTCTGTCATCCGTCATCTCAGTCATCACTCTACTCCATGTATAGCTTGTTTTTGTAACAATTATACAAAATAGATACATTTTCCACTTCAATTTCTTCTAAATAAAGTATTTACTTTTCTTTTCTTAATGGCCAAAAACATTCATGAAACATGTCACATGCTTAGGCCATTCGGTCATATATGTGATGTACAGAGCTACGGAGCCCAGTAGACTAAACCTAAAGCTAGCATAGCCCGGGTTCTCATCACACATATCTTTTTTCTCATTTATGTGAAAATAACTTACTTAAATAACAATTTAGCTTCTAGCTCTTTTAACTTAAGGTTTCCGTGCCATTGTATTGTATAATACGATCATAAACGACCGACTCGGGTTATTCAACGAAAATTCCAAGCGGCTATTACGAAATCGATATTCACGTGACGTCACCCGGACGTCTCCGTCCACTGAGGATATGCAAATGTACAACGTGACAGATGGTCGAAAAGATTCAACAATGACCACAGACCAGTGCCGAGTAACTGGTGTTGCACACCTGTATACAAATATGTCTTCATCTCTTTCTTATCAAAGGGAATAATAGAGAGGGCAATGTTTTGGTATAAATTATCTACATCTATATCTGTGTATCTATATATAATAAAATTGGAGTGTCTGTTCGTAATATCAAAATAAAAATGCCAGAGTTCAGAGAGATCAGAGAAGTATTTGCGCTGCCTATAACGAAAATCGCATTTAAAAAAAAATTGTCTGTCTGTCCGCAAGCCGCATTTGTTCCGACTAACCTCTGAAACTGGGCCAATTTCGACGGGACTTTCACTGGAGGGTAGCAGACATAGACGGGTATATTATAGGCTATCTTTTTTAATTCCGCGCTGTCAAATATTAGGAACCGTTTGTCCAAATTCGCGCTATTGAAGTTTGTGGACGACAGCTCGTTTTAAATAAATCAGACTACCTATGAAATAGGATATGGGTAAGAAGGGGAGAAATTTAGATATTGAAGCAGAAAGAGATGTATGGAAGAGTACATACTGTGCTAGAAAACAGCAGAAAGATGAAAACGGATCGTCAATTGTTTTTGTGGTCTTCACATTTGGCGGGAACAGATCAAATAACAACTAACCTATAATGACAGAATGTTCTAGTATTTACTATAAGAAGTTATTAGCAAGAATTCTTACGTAGGTGACCATATGCTGAGTGACTGCTTAGTGTTGACTCAGATATCTCCTTATAAGTTCTAAGCGCGTAGATATCCGGTTATGATAAATTGATAATTACTTTCTATTAGCCAAGGATATGAAGCATGCAATTGTTAATGCAACTTAACGACTTGTTAGTTACTTAGATGTTTTTATAAGAGTTGTCATCAGATGTCGTGACCTTTAATAGTGATTTAATATTTTACCTTTTATATACGGAAAGCGTTTTCATGGTTTCTATTCTATTATAATAAAGCGTAAACACACACTTCTTTGTTGCCTAAGATGTCAGCAATTACAGCATATTTTGTATAATTCTTTTTTTTTAATAATAAGCCCTACACTTACGTCACGCTATAAGCTATATATTTTCACGCCATTCAAATAAGGGGGTAAATATTTTGGATAAAAACTCTAATGTGGGAAAGAGACCATAAGTTGCTGCCAACATCAAAGAAGCAATTGCTAAGGTTTGTTATATCATGTTATTTTAACATTTGCTATTGATAATTTGACAAATGTAAACGATGAAATAGAATTTTCATAATTTTATGCAAATGAAGCCCCCAGGAATTTTGTATTATTGATGTAACAAGAGCGTCGGTGGCTCAGTGGTTTGAACACTTGACTTGTAATCTACAGGTCTTGGGTTCGAATCCCGCCATGTACCAATGTGATTTTCGATTTTTCGAATTTTCATATGTACATAATTTACCCGAAGTTCTTACGGTAAAGGAAAACATCATGATGCCTGCACAAATCGGCGAAGAAATTCACAGATATGTGTGAAGTCAACCAACCCGCACTTGGCCAGCGTGGTTGACTATGGCCTAGTCACCCCTTATTAGGGTAGGCTCCGAGCCACTCGGTGGGGACGTATAGTGAGCTGGTGATGATGATGATGATGATGGTTAAGCCGTTTAGGCTACAAAGTCTATCAAACATCCATCTATCCATCCATCTAAACTTTCACATTTATAATATTAGTAAGATTTCTATTGTCGACATAACTCAAAAA